TATAGTGTGTTCTCAAGAACAGACACATTTGCGTTAAGAAGTTATAGATGCTGTGTACTTGCCATTGTGTGCCCCAAGGAATCTTTCAGTTTTTACATCTGAAACAATTCCCAGTCTTAATGTTCAACTTCCCAACTTTCTCAAAATCATGGACTGCAGCTAAAACCTAAAGATTTTCTTGCCCAATAAACTCTGTATGTGATGTTGGGTGGGTGTATATGTTTGTGCATGTCACACATATGCTTATGCAAACATACAATTGCATGCGCTTCAGTTTCTATAGCTGCTGCAAATACTGTTTTCTTATTTTGAATCTTGTAAATTGCCACACAGACACAGTGCATTTGGGATAAGAAGAGAGGAAGCAAAACTATGGAAATGAGATGAGATATAATGGGGGAAAAAAGAGAGAAAAGGAAGATATTAGAAAAAGATTTAAATTAACCAGTCAGGAAACTGAAGAAGCAACTGAAGAACTGGCCAGCAGCCATTTTCTACATGTAGCTCTTTGCACTTGTGATAATATTTTGGTTTTAAGAACTTCTTGTATTCTTGTCAACTAATGTACAAGGACTCATGATTCAAAGATAATTATATATGGGAAAAAACCCCATCACTTTTTTGGATAAATTAAGTCATTTATATTGCATAGCTAATGAGAGGCATGGGGCATTCAGGTTACTTAGCGTTGCAAAAGGACTTTCTCCTTTGAATTTATTTGAACTTTAAAGGCTAACAACTGAAAATAATTTTTAAACCTACCCAGAGAATTAATTGAATGGCTATGGTTTGTTTTAAAGAAAAAAAATCCAAATAGGCAAGATTCCACAAGCAAAAAATACATCCTAAGTGCACAATAATTGTTGGTACGCAATAATTGTTTCTTTTTAAAACATGCAGCTATTGGCAGTTGGAAATAGCAAATGAAAATTGCAGTAATTTCAATCCTATAGGGGATCAAAAGATTTTAATTTGACAATTTCTTATTCCTCCCACAGTGATGACACTTTGTAGCAATGTATGCCAGTATAGGCAAGGTTGCAATTTATTTTTTCATAAACACAACTTGATATTTTGGAAAAATACTGCCAGTGTAATACCTCACACATGGAAAAGGGTCAGCTATACAGTAGATACTCCTGAATAATTTGGGTGATAAATCCAAGATGATCAAGGGATAGCCCAAAAGAGAAACTGTAAAGCATTTTGGCCACCCTACTATATGTGACATTCTGTGCTTTCCTATTTTAGGGTTTGGATTAGATCTCCGTGTATACGAAAAACAAAGGGGACGTTGCCAATTGATTCAGCACACATGGGTATTCTTAGCAGAGTGCTAATTTTTGAGCTTACCTTATCTATGTTTCCTGCTAAAATACGTCAGAAAATACATTGGAGGCAAATTTACTTAGGGTTAGGGTAAGGTCTCCATGAATTCAGAGAGTAAAATGGACATCGCCAATGGATTCGAAGCACATGGATAAACTTAGGAGGGCACTGGCTTTTTGACGCTGACTTATCTCCTTTTCCTGATAAAATATATGGAAAAATCCCACTGGTGACAAATCTACTTAGGGTTAGGGTTAGGACTCCATGAAGTCAGAAAATAAAATGGACATTGCCAATGGATTTGGAATACATAGGTATGCTTTGGGCACTTGACTTTTTGAGCCTGCCTTATCTATGTTTCCTGGTAGAACACATGAGAAAAACCCCTTGGGGAGCAAATCCACTTTGAGTTAGGGTTCAAATAGCAAATGGATATTGCCAACAGATTTGGAGCGCATGGATATG